TTTTCGGCTAGGCACTCAGACGAACCCCGGTAAAGATTAGACCGCTGCCCGTTCTGATTCCCGACCACCTATATGAGCGATGTTCGGGAGATGTCAACTACCGAACAGGGGGAGCAGCCATACCCTGAAACTAAGAGATTCGCTTGCATGGTGTTTGCACAGGAACCCCCAAACAGAGGCCCACCAAGGCACCTATTTCCCTGGAATTGTTTTGGGCTAGTGCCTCATGTCAAGCCGGTCTAAACTTTCCCCCGTTGTCAATCCAGTTCTACCACACCGATCTGTGTGATCCGGGGATATAACTTTTGAAAGGGATTCCTAGGCACTTTTGGGGTACTGTATATTTTGTATGGATTTTCTGTACCTGAGAGATAATTGAATTATAGGTTTTTCTCACGCAATTATCTCTCAGATACAGAGGATCTTGTGATTGAAACTCCTGTTTTGTTGTATTGGAGACCCCATGTAGGGGTCTGTGCATAAGAGCTGTGTGTGGCCAGAATAAAATCACTTGACTCCCAGAACTATGTTTCATCTGGTTACTGGGGGATTAGAAGTCTGCTTTAATGGTTCCAGAGTCCCTGAGGAAAGGAATTAGCGAAGGTAACCAGCCGGGTTACCCGAGGTCCGCTTCAACAGTTGTACAGACATACCTTACGTCAAACATCCAAACTAATGAATAGAGCATTTATTGATATATAATAACAATCTTAGAAAAAACATATATATATGTTTCTTTGTGTTCTCTGTATTTCAGTTCAAAGAACAAAGATTCTTTTTTCAAAGAACATGTTATGTAGCGGTGGTTGAACATAATACCGAGCCCTGATTTTATTACCAGAAGGATCAATACATTTTAGCATAAAGAGAAACATGTCTTTGTTTGTCTTTGCTAATTTAAAAAATGCATTTGCATCTTGATAATTATTATAGGAATGGAGTTTATCCCTGTCTTAAATTGAGAAATGTATATTAAATGATATAGATTTCTCTTGCTCATGACTGGAATGCATAGTCATCTAAATAATCCAACTTACATAGTAGTTCATAATAATTACAAGAACAATACACAGGCTGAATGTACTGCTTCAATTATTAGTTTATACCATAAATTAACATTATGCAATCTAATATAGTCAAGAATTTAGTGTCACCACCCTATGGAAAAGAAAATATTAACAAAAACATCAGTTTTTTTTTTTGTTCTTGTAGCATTCAATATAAAATACTTGGCCAATTCAAAGAGACACAAAATTATAACAATAATATACATATTTGTATGACACAAACAGAGACAGTGAGTCAAACAAAACAACTGAAATAGAACAAAGACAAAAATGAGCTCTAGAATTGCTTTTTGAATAAGTAGGGGTCTCTGAAGCATCAGAAGGGATGAGTGCATAATGAATTATTTCAAGGTCTAAAAGTTCAAAAGGAAGTACCCAGGAGGGTAATCTTTGGGACAGGGGTACAATAATATTTAAGCACATCTGGATATTGCCAAGAAAATGTATAGGATTTTATGGCTGGTTTTACCAGTTTAGGTAACTGTATTTATTTTCACCATTACTCATGGTACATTTTCTATTTTAATTCTATTATTCTAGAGAAAGTAGATGAGGCGCTAGAATTGGCTTTACACTAAATTGCATAATATCCATCCTGTCCCAGTGATTTTCCATTTGAGCCCTTACTTTTGTAAAAACAGCTTGGGGTTTGAACAACTCTAAAGAAAAACTCCATGTTCCACTGGGTAAGGGAAAAAAATTAAAGTAAAGATACAAAAGGGAATTTTAAACATTAGAAGAGAAAAATAAAGAAATTTTGGCTAGAAGAACAGTGACTTCAAACGCCATGATTGTAACAGTTTTGGCTTCATTCATAACAGTTGAAGTCGTATAAGTCCTCCACAGTTTGAGAGTGAATTTCGACCACTGTCAGCCATTTGGGATATTGATTCTATCCTGTTTGAATGCAGGTGTAAGATGCACATAAAATATAAAGCAGATATGAACAAAATAGCTTTGTAAGATTAAAGGGACACTGCAGACCCATTAAAGCACCTTAGCTTGCTGGATTACTTTGTGTGGCATAAACTCCTTAGTGATAAAAACACTGAGGAAAAATGGAAACTATTCAAACAAATATTAGAAAGGTACATTTCACAGTATGTACCATTGGGTAATAAATATAAAAGAAACACATTAAAACCAATGTGGCTTAGTAGAGAAGTAAAACAAGAGATTCAAAATAAGAAAAAGGCATTTAAAGCATTTAAATCAGACAAATCAGAGGCATCCTATATAAGATATAAGGAAGCCAATAACGCTTGCAAAAAGGCAATTAAAGTGGCTAAACTAGAAAATGAGAAATTGATAGCCAAAGAATGCAAAACCAACCCCAATTTTTTTTTCAAGTACATCAATTCTAAAAAAACAAAAAATGAAAGTGTAGGTACACTGAAAACAGAGATGGATCTGTTAGTTAATAAAGACCAGGAAAAGGCAGAAATTTTAAATAACAATTTTTCTTCAGTATATATTAATGAGGATCCTATGGCAAGAGATAAGAAAATGATTGCTGCAACAAACTTGCAGATAACTTGTGATTGGATAACGAGACAAGGTGCTACAGCTATTAAAGAAAATTAAGGTAAATAAAGCCCCGGGGCCTGACGGTATCCACCCACGAGTACTTAAGGAGCTAAGTGGGGAAATAAGTGAGCCTTTGTATTTAATTTTTCAAGATTCTTTTGTTTCAGGTATTGTACCAGAGGATTGAAGGAAGGCAGATGTTGTTCCTATATTTAAAAAGGGTTCAAAATCCTTGCCTGGAAATTATAGACCTGTGAGCTTAACTTCTGTGACTGGGAAATTATTTGAACGGCTATTAAGGGATAATATTCAAGAATTAATTGGGAAGAACTGTGTTATTAGCAATAATCAGCATGGTTTTATGAAACATAGGTCATGTCAGACTAACCTAATTGCATTCTACGAAGAAGTAAGTAGAAATATAGATCAGGGTTTTGCAGTGGATGTGATCTACTTGGATTTTGCCAAGACATTTGATACGGTTCCTCACTATAGGTTAGTCTTCAAACTAAAATAAATTGGTCTAGATGAATATTCTTGTTCTTGGGTAGAACACTGGCTTAAGGATAGAGTACAACGAGTTGTCATTAATGGTAAATTTTCAAGCTGGACAAAAGTGGTAAGTGGTGTCCCTCAGGGTTCTGTTTTGGGACCGCATCTATTTAACATATTTATAAATGATCTTGAAATGGGCATTGAAAGCCATGTATCAGTGTTTGCAGATGACACAAAACTTTGTAAAGTAATAAAATGTGAGCAGGATATTGCCTTGCTGCAGAGGGATTTGGATAGATTGGGGGACTGGGCACTAAAATGGCAGATGAAATTTAACGTAGAGAAATGCAAAGTTATGCACTTCGGGGTTAAGAATGCACAAGCAATTTACACCCTAAATGGTAGTGAACTAGGGATAACCACACACGAGAAGGATTTGGGAATTGTTATAGACAACAAATTAGGCAGCAATATGCAATGTCAATCTGCAGTTGCTAAAGCCAGTAAGGTTTTGTCGTGTATAAATAGGGGCAGAAATTCTCGAAATTAAAATATCATTTTGCCTCTTTACAAATCGCTGGTAAGACCACAACTTGAATATGCTGTGCAATTTTGGGCACCTGTTCTAAAGAAAGATATCATGGCACTAGAAAAAGTGCAGAGACGAGCTACAAAATTGATAAAAGGAATGGAGCATTTTAGTTATGAAGAAAGGTTAAACAATTTAAATATCTTTAGTTTGGAAAAACGGCGCCTGAGAGGGGATATGATAACATTAAAGAAATATATTTGGGACCAGTACAAACCATTATCTGGAAATCTATTCATAAACAGGGCTATACATAGGACACGAAGTCACACAATTAGGCTGGAAGAAAGGAGATTTCATCTAAGGCAAAGAAAAGGTTTTTTTTACAGTAAGAGCAATAAGGATATGGAATTCTTTGCCTAAAAGAGGTGGTTTTGTTAGAGTCTATACAGATGTTTAAACTGCAATTGGATAAATACTTGCAAAACCATAACATACAGGGATATAATTTCTATTTAGTGGGGTAATAGCTGCTTGATCCAAGGAGACATCTGACTGCTATTTTGGGGTCGACAAGGATTTTTTTCCTAGTTTGTTGCAAAATTGGAAGTGCTTTAGACTGTGTTTTTTGCCTTCTTTTTTCAACAGCAAAAACATATGTGAGGAAGGCTGAACTTGATGGACACAAGTCTCTTTTCAGCTATGTAACTATGTAATGTGTCCTCTTTTTTCATTTTACAAAAAGTGTAGATTTCAATAGAAATTGGCACTATTATAAATTAATCTTGTTACACCCCTTGGTTGTCATTCACACAAATGGTCATGTTACTTCCTTGTCCTATAGCTCAGTGGACTGAAATTCAAAAGGAAGGCGCTTGCTCAGAGCCTTGTAAATTCCATTGAGCTGCATGGGGAAGTCTGTGATTGGACAGCCACAGAAGTTTGGGCTGGGTTAGAAGGGGAGGGCTTGCAAAGACTTCAGATAAGAGATCTGCATCTTTAGTAAACTGTTTTTAGATATATTCCCAATGAAAAAAATAATGCATAATTAAATAAATTAAATGCAGGTATGTTTTCATTAGAGGTACATCTACTAAACTGTGATTTTATGTTTAAGTTGGGCAGTGGGGTGTGACTTTAACCCAGCACAAAAAAATTACAGTCCAAGCTCACTGAATGGCAATAAGGCATCACTAGGGATACTTCATAAGTGTAAATGTAGATGTCTGATAAAAAGTAAGATATTGGGGGGGCGTGGTTTGGAAGATGGCCACATAGAGCGAGTGCTCCGCACCCCGGCGCTCAATAAAGCACTTTAATCAGCTACAGCCATGACTTTGGAGCCGCAAATCTTGCCCTGATCACCCCATTACTGCAGCCGGATGTCAAGCCGCAGACCACCCAAGAAAAGAGGCACCAACAAAGCTCCGTCAGTGGTGGACATGTTTGCAGCACAGAGGCCTGCTGCACGAGGTGCGCCCACAAACACGAGCCCTAGCACAACTCACCGCACGGACCCCCTCCGGACACAAGACTCCCCACCGGAGGCATCTTCCAGCGCTATCCTGCAATCCCTTGCGGATGCCAAAGGCTACTTGGCCGAAGAAATCAAGAGATCAGCCAAGGAAGTCAAAGCGGAAATTGCCGCCATAGGGGCTCGAACCACCTGGATTGAGTTACAAATTGGCAACGTGGTGCAGGCTCACAATCGAGCAGTAGACCTCACAAACACACTCCTCACAAGGGTTACAGATCTGGAATTGGAGCTCGAGGACGTCTCCAACCGCTCAAGGAGAAATAACCTGCGCATTCGCGGCCTGCCGGATTCGGTTGGGGAAGCGGATCTTGAAGAGACTCGAGTCACCTGTTTTAAGCAGAGCCTCCCAGACATCCCAGAACATCTTTGGATAGTGGACAGGGTACATAGAGCCCTGCGGGCCAGAGGGCCGAAGAATAGCCCCACACCCCGCGATGTAATTATGAAGTGGCACTATTACAAGACCAAGTAGGCCATAATGCGCCACAGCAGGATGACGGCCTACGACCATGAAAGGCCCAGCCTCCAAATATACCAAGACGTGGCACCGGCCACACTCCTTCGGAGAAAGGAGTGGAAGCCGGTCACAGATTTGTTGAGAAACGGATTGCGCTTTGCTTGGGGATACCCGTTCAAGATACTGGTCTTTAAAGGCCCCAAACCATCGGTGCTACGCCCGTCGACGGACATACACACATTTCTTAATGACTTGGGCTTGGACCTGCCGGCGGACTTCCAAACCCCACATTCCCAAGCAGGGACACTTGCCATGCTAGCTGAGAACGCTCTTCGGCTGTGTTTCCCCCCGTTTGAGGAGAATCCCTCGGCGCGGAGGTGGCCCACCCCCAGAGCTCCTGGCATAGAATAAGACACGGAACAGACTTGTGTATTGTTGTTTTGTTATAAAGTTACGTATAAATAACCGCACTTGTACAACAGAGTTTTAAAAATTGTTCTTCTGTACACTACTATAGCTTGTACTACTTACAATACGACAGCGAATCCTTGTTCAACTGGTATCAGCGCTGTAATACACACGAAATACTAATGTATTCTTTTTGTTTCTCTTGTTTGTTTCTACTAATTTCGGCCAAATAACCTATACGGCCGACTTTTTCCTACTCTTCTTCCACACCCTCTAACCTGTACCTTCCCCACCCCCCTTTCCCCCCGTACTGGACCTGCTGTTGGAGACAACATCTGTACACCAGGGCGTATGCCTCACGGGCACTGTGTAAGAGGAATGGGGTCGAAATACTTATCCATAAAAATTGCCCGCTCACTATAACCCAAACCTATGAAGACAGAGAAGGCCGGTACGTGGTCCTGACTTGCACGCTTCCCTCTAATACGTACCACATGATTAATGTAAGAAACCCAACATAGCAGCAGCAGCCAGAGTAAAGCCCACGTTTTATGAAACATTATGTATGTCCGATGGACCACGTGCCGGCCTCATCACTCGCTTATATGAGCAACTAAGCGCACCCACAAAAGAATCCCAAACACCCTCTTACATATTGCAGTGGGAAGCTGAACTCCAACAAACCCTAGATAGTGGGGATAGACATATGGGAAGCAGCTACCAAGTCCTCAATATGCGTCATTCACCAAGAACAGTGTTACAAAACGCTGATGAGGTGGTACACCACCCCCGGCAAATTACACAGAATGGGTAAAACACCCTCAAATGTGTGCTGGAGAGGCTGTGGGGTCAAGGGTACCTACCTCCACATGTGGTGGACTTGCCCGAAAGTTTCTCAATACTGGGAAAACATAACTAAACTCTTGACAGAAATATTGAAAAAAACAATACAGCCTAACCCTGGACTTGCCTACTAGCCAAACTGATTGACAACCTTCCTAATAGAGAGCAAAAACTTGTAAACAAAATTAACCTGGCAGCCAGACGCGCCCTGGCGCAGACATGGCTCCAGGTAGACACTCCACACATAGACAGAGTAATAGGCAACATTAAAGAAGCCTTCCTCATGGACAAACTCATGGCACAGGTACGAGACACATACACACATTTTCTCAAGGTATGGGAACCGTGGGAAGACTATATTGACTCCTGAGCCCGAACTCCACGCCCCCTCAGGGGGATAGCAGCTACCCCTCTTCAACAGACTCCTGCCTCCTCCCGACAGCAGGTCCTACATCTCCCCCTCCCTTTCTCCCCTCCCCTCTTCCCCCCTCCGTACCACTACTCTATTTCTAAATACCACTGTAACGCACGGAGACTTCGGGCCAACGACACGAACACACGATAAACCTCTCTACCAGCGAACAAGGCCCTCTACCACTAACAACATCACACACTGGGACAATTTCCACCTCCTCCCATTCTGTTTTTCCTTCTTTTATATCTCTTTATTTGCTTGGTTTTAGTGTTTTAACGATGTTATAAAATTGAAAAGTGACAGTACATGATATTGCAGAGAGCGCAAGAACCGAAACAGTAATACCATGCTAACATTGGCTTCTGCGTAAGATGTACCAAAGTAAACACTAAATATTGTATTGAATATGCAAATCCTGGATTCTGCGCAAGCCCTCACAATGTCACAACAATTGCATACTATCATATGTCACGACCAAAATAAATATATATAAAAAAAAAAAAGTAAGATATCTGTGAGACGCTTAATGATTTAGTAATTAAGAATGATTTGTAGCATTTGTATTTTTTCCCCTAATTTCTGCCTTCTGGAGAAAGATGGAGAGATGATGTCTACCACCATCTTGTGTGGACCATTTGGAGAAAAGATGTGACTGTTGTTACTTTGTGACCCTCCTACTAGTGCACCACCAAAATGATAACTTTTTTATTTTTCCATTTACCAAGGGGTTTTTGAAGAGGTTCTTTTAACATGTATACATGGGCTAAAATGACATTTATGGTTATGACATCTATAAAATATCCATGGAAAATATAAAAGCCAGTACTTTCCAACCATTTTCCTAATGCATTCAAGTTCATTATTTTATGCTGTTGACTCTGATTGCACTTATAAAATTCCATGTTACTATTTTAAATAAATAGAACATGACACAATTATATTATATTACAGCAGAGGATACATCTTGTTCTACATCAAATCTTGACTGGAACACACAGCATTCATATTTAGTCATCTATTAACCGTTTGAGCACAAACACAAGGGACTTTAATCAGTGGCATACAAGTAAGTAGAGGTCTAAAGGATAAGGCTGCAATTGCCTACAGTTTAAAGTGGTATGTGAGCTTCTTTATGTTGGGAACCAGTAAATATCCCCATTATGCCGATGCTCTGAAGTGTGCAAACAGAGGCCCGGTCCCAACTTCCAACAACTGGCAAAATTGTCCATAAAAGTGGAGATGTTAGTTGTGTGTGAGATCACAAAAAAGGAACTTAAAGCTACTGTACTGAACTATCTTACACTTTTACTGTCACTATGGTGCTAAAAAAACTGCATGCCAGAAAATTGCACGTGGTTAGATCTCCTTTAAAGGGAGACTCCAGACCCCTAAAGCACTTTATCTCGCTGAAAAGCTTTATGTGTGAAGAGTGTGCCCTCCTTTTTTATAAATTTTTTTGCGAAAAGTGCAAATTTCAATAGAAATTGACACTTTTTTAAAGTAAACTGCTACGTCCCGGTTTGGTTATCTGAATTGAGCTAAACTCAAAAGGCAGCCATGGCAGAGATCACCATTATTGCAAAAACTTCTCATTGAGCTACATTGGGAAGTCTGTGATTGGACAGCCACAGAAAGTCTGGGTGAGGTTAGAAGAAGAGGGTTTGCAAAAGCTGCAGACAAGACAAATGCAGGTTTTGCAAGAGGTTTTTAGATATATCCCCAATCAAAAAAATACACAATTAGAAGCATGCATGCTGACATTTAGGGCATATGGACTAAACAGTGATTCTAATTTTTTTTTTTATTTGGGCAGTGGAATTTCCTTTTAAGGGCATGAATGCCCATGCTGTGTTCAGGGCACAGATCAGTACTATGAAGTCCAGAGATATTTCTAACATGATCGCTATGCAGTCCATAGATATTTCTAACAGGATCTCGTTAAAGCGGCACTATCATGCCACACTTACCTTTCCCTAATTGCTTTCTCTTCTCTCCCTCTCTCAGGATCTGTTCTCCATTTCTTCCTATCTAATCTAGTTTTCTTTAAAACATAAGACAAAGTAGGGACTACTTTGTCTTACGTATTTTTCATATGCTTGACCCGCTCTGACCCACTTCCTGGGTCAAATACATTTCCCCACAATGCTCACCCTTTCCTCCATGATCTCGTAATGCCTGCCTTCAATATTCTCGAAACTCCTGTCCTGTCATTTAGACAGGATGCCGGCCAAACAACGGAATTTCATCCTAACAGAATGAGAAGTTTCTCTATTCGTGTTAGGACGACATTCGGTACTTTCTGTTAGGATCGGAATTTAATTTGAATGAATGAAATGCCGATCCTATTCGTGCTGCGGCTGCATCTTGCACGGTATTAGGGAGCTATCTACCGTAAGACTGAAAGACCAAGATTGGTCTTTCAGACAAATTTACTAATACTAAGTAAAGATTCATTATTTCCAAGGAGTGGGGGTCTTTTTTTTTTTTTTTACAACAGTGAGCAGCCACTTGCTGCTTACTGTTTAGTAGACATGCCCCTACGCATGGCATAGTGAGTAGGGGCATTCGGGATATTTCAACTTCCCTTACGCTAATATGGGGGTCACATTAACCCCCATAGAGTGATGGAGAGCATGGGGGGGCTTAGGAAGCGGTGAGGAGCACTGCTTCCCGCTGCTTCTAATTTCACATACTAATAGGAGGGAGCCGCAAGCTGAACGAACGAACAAACAAACACCGACATTCGGTGTTTGTTTGTCTGAAATTTCTATTCATTCATCTCTCTGACGAATAAATAGACAAAATTCCCATCCGAATTTCGGAAAATAGCGAATGCCCAAGTGTTTAACTGGGCATGTGCGGGAATTTCATATCACTATCTAGTGTGGGCAGATGACGTGTCCCACAGTGCCTTCATCTGCCCTCAAAAAGATGGCGGCGCCCAGGACCTAGGTCCAGGCACAAAATAAAGTAATAAAAAAAGGTAATATGGAGGGGGCCTAAGGGCATTTGGAGGTAAATAGGGGGGCAATTAGAGGTAATGGAGTCAGGAGGGGGGTTAAAAAAAACAGATGCGGCTGTGACAGTGCCGCTTTAAGGTGCTGGACTGACCTTGGCCCCTGGACAGTCTAGCCTGTTATATATCCTATAAAGAAACAGGCAGTGTCATGCTTTTTATTGCTTTACATAGGTTTTTATCATCCTTACATGATTGTGACTCATTCTGTACCTACCTGCCCATATTCTGTATCAAACACGATACGGATTCTACATAAAAAATATAAAGTGCTTTTTCTGTATGATAATCAATAGCTTTGCCAATAATTATCTAAAACAGGTTCTCCTGAAT